CCAGCACCTCCATCCTTCCACCGGGCATTGCCCAGCACCTCCATCCTTCCACCAGCACCTCCATCCTTCCACCAGGCATTGCCCAGCACCTCCATCCTTACACTGGGCATTGCCCAGCACCTCCATCCTTCCACCAGCACCTCCATCCTTACACTGGGCATTGCCCAGCATCTCCACCCTACCAAGGACTCCTCTGGAGCACCCAGCTCTCTGTGCCCTGCATCTCCCTCAGCTCCTCAGGTGTCTCCAGCTCTCTGTCCTCTGCCACTGTCACCCAGCTCAGCCTCACCACCCCCTCTCCTCTGTGCTGAAGCAGAAGATGGTGTCTGCAGAGGGGCAGGGCCTTCCAAAGGTGATGGCTGAAGTGTTTTAATGTTGGTGGGTTTGCTGGTTGGTGTTGGACAGTGAGGAAAATCAGGAAAAATTAGGTATTTCATGTGCAAAAGGAACTCTAAAGGAGGGTGCCCACAGAAGCTGTGGCTCCCCATCCCTGGAGGGTCCAGGGCCAGGCTGAATGAGACCTGAACAGCCTGGGATGGTGGAAGGTGTCAGGGGTGACTGGATGAGCTTCAGCTGGAGGGACCTCCCCACTTTGGACACTCCAGGAGGGAGCTGGCTCTGCTGGAGAGGGATTCTCACTGAGCTCCCACTGCTGTGTGAGCTTGGGGGAGTTTTGGGGGGAGTGACAAACATGCACTGTAAGGAGAAACTTGGACTGACACTTGACAACTCCTCTGGTTTGTAAATTCCACAGGAATTTGAATTGCATGGCGTTTTTTCACTTGCAAATGTTGCAGACTTGTTATTTTTCTCTTTTCCACATACTTTAGGCTTATGGCATTGCATAATTTTTTATAACTCTGTCCTTGTGAAGGAGCAAGCAGAGAGCAATATCTCAGGAATAATTCCCTTGCAACAGCAATCTGCTTTTGCCTGCAGACAAAATAATCCAAACCATGTTAATAGTTTTAATTTCCAGTGATGTAAGAGCTGGTGCTTCTGGAAAGGTGATCTTTAAACCTGTGGTGAACTCAGATGCCTCCAGAAGAGCTCTGTGGGAGCTCCAGGTTTGTGATGGAGCAAAATATTGGAGCTGCAAGCTTGTTTGGGAATACTTTATGGAAGAGCCACTGGAGTAACCAATGCAGGTGTTAAACTGAAAGGACTGCAGGGGGTTTGGTCCTGGGCTGGTTGAAGCTGAGGAAGGGCAGGAAAAGCTGAGTGTTTGAGGAGGGGTGGAAGGGAATATCAGGCAATGGCAGGAGATGTTTAGGTAAACAATAAACAACTGCTGAGATGTTTAGATAAACAATAAACAACTGCAGGAATTGAGAGATGTAAAAATAAATGAATGGGGAGGGGAAAAGGGTGTAATGAAACACTGAGAGGACGTGGTCAGCCTGTGCCAGTGGGATTGATTTCTGTGCCATCAGGGATCAGTGGCTCATGGGACTGTCCCCAGCCTCTGGGGCAGTGACACGCTCAGGGCGAGCCAGAAGCTGCTCCAAACTGGGGGTGGAAAACACAAGTGAAGCTGAAATTCATGAATGTTTTGGTGGGGAGGAGGAGAGAAGAAAATCAGGGTTTTTTTCTCAATGCCAGCTGGTGCCTTGTCTTTCATGGAAGAGGAGGAGGAGGAGGCACAAGAGGAGGGAGGGAGGAGGTTGGTTCTCCCATGGGAGAGGAGGAGGAGGATGGAAATTGCTGAGGAAACCATTGGATTTCCTGGCATGATGTGATGGGGGAATTTGACCATCCCTGGATAGCAACAAAGATGTCTTTGCACAAAATTCTGTTTAATCCTGGTTCAGGGTAAGTCAGGACAGCTGAGGGAGTTCTGTGTCCTCAGAGGGGAATGGGAGTAGCACAAGTGTGGCCTTTAGAGGCAGGACAAGGTGAGTGGAGCATCTCCATTCTGCATCCACCCTGCTGAGGTGGGGCAGGGACAGCTCAGGAGCAGCTCCCTGGGGCTGCTTTCCTTCTCCTGTCATTGCCCTCCATCTGCACTGTAGGAAATGCTCCTAGGGCACTGAAAATCAACAGCATCTCTTCTCCTACCATTTCCCAGCAGCACTCCCAATTCTGGGAGCCTCTGCCCTTGCAGGAGCCCAGGCCCTGGAGGTGCCCCCACACATCTGGTGCCTGGCCTGGGCATCCCAGGCTCTTGGCAATCCCCCCAAATGGGGCTTCTCCCCCATTTCCCCTCCCTCCCCTGGCTGCAGCTCCCCTGTTAATGGCCCCATTCCCATTCTGTGCAGTATAAATCCCACTTTAGCTCTGGGAGATCTCCTCTGGGCTCTGTGGGCTGTTGTACAGTCATTCCACTGCTGCTGGGAGCATTTGGAGCCCTTCCTATTATTTGTCTTTATTCTGGGGAATAAATGCTCAGCGTTTGCTGCAGATGTGGCTCCTCTACCCAAAGAATCCCCCTCAGCAGCAGAAATCAGCACAGGCACAACAGGCAGAGGTGGAAACACTCTGGAAATGCCACCCTGGCTTTTCCCAAACCACAGTGGTGACATTTTGGACTGACAGGATCCCAACCATTGTGGGAGTGCTTCAGGCAGCACAGAGAGGGGTGGGTGTCCCTGCTCCCCAGCTTCCCTGCACTTGTTTTTCTCGATTTTCTGTGTCCAGGAGATTCCCCCCAGTTGCAACTCTGGCTCCTCTCTGGTGTTTTATTTAGAAAATTAAATTGCTGTACTTAATTTTAAGTGTCCAGTGATGGTGTTTAATCCTGGGATAACATTTAAATGGGGAACAGCAAAGCAAGCTGGGAGGAACCTCTCACAGTGAGGTGAGAGCACACTCATTTACAAAAGTACTTCAGTAGGAATTAAAATAAAATTTCCATTTTCCACACCCTCATTCTGATCCTCATTGTCATTAACTTACTCCAAACCCCACTTGGTATTTCAAACTGGAGTAAATCATTCTGTCTTCCAATTAACTTCCATCCTCCAGACAACATAATGAGACTGATTTCATTCAGCTCTGTTGTTTAATAAACATCTGAACAGTTCTTTATCTCCGAGCCACGCAGAAATGTGCGCTTCTGGTGTACTGAGCACGGGGTAATGGGCAAGAGGAAAATTACTGCAGAGAATTCATCCTG